GAGCTGATACCAAGGGCTCAAGTAGAAAGCAAATGTTTTGAGAATGATGATGGCAAACATTGTACAAATGTGCTTGACACAATGGATGGATGTATGGATTGTGATAAGAGTTGTACGAGCCCCCAATAAAATGATTTTTTTAAAAAGTCCTTTATGACAATGAATGCCACATCATTCCTCTTGATTGTTATTCCCTGCACAGTAAATCATGTGATTTTTTAATTCAAATTGTCCAATACCAGTCCCATTCAGCTCACTAATGCCCAGGATATACAGATCTTTTTGCATTCCATTTCATTTTTGACCACTTCCAATTTTCCTAGATTCATTCTCCGCACATTCCAAGTTCCAATCACTAGATGTTTGCAGCTCTTACTTCTTGAGTTGTACCCATCAGCAAATGAAGATCCTGAAGGTTCCACTCCCACATGCTTTGCCCAACTTATCACCATGGTCTACTTCCCTCCAAGAAATCAGCTTCTCGTTAGTCACATTTCAAGTGTCCTCTGACCTGAGAGGCCCATTCTGCAGCACTATCTCAGACCATGTCCATCTCCCATTCGTTTTCAACATCTAACAGTGTTTCAAAGCTATGCCTTAGGTCTTCAGAGGCTCTTTCCTCCAGAGTGGGAGCCGAGTACTTCTTCATCTGTTCGCAGTCTGGAAGCTCTGCTGAAACCTGTTTAATTTGGGTGACCCTGCTGGCATTTGAAATACCAATGACGTAACATCCAGTATCACAGCAACACATAAACCACGAAAGTAAAACAAACTGACAGACAAGTGATAGAAACACATAATACTACATATTATATGGTTCCATTTATAAAGCATTTTAGTAAAGGTAAGCAAGCAGTGGATGACAGGTACTAGAGATGGAGAAGGAATGTAAATGCCACTAAGGATATTTTTTTGAGAATAGAAATTACTGTATTCTGAATTATGATTGCAAAGGTAATTACATAATTTATCAAGTAAGTATATAGTATATATTAAAACTTAATATTAAATATAATCAGAGTGCCCTAAAACTAATAAAATAAAGTAAGGCTAATATATTTTAAACTTTAGTAGGAGAATACTTTTCAACATAAAATAGTCCATGTTAATAACTTCACTACTACATTAAACTATATAAAATAATTACTACTTTACTGAGATAATACGGGGGG